GCGCCCGAGCGGATGGAAGCGGCAGCGTGGTGGCTGACGGAAGCGTTCTGGGAGCGATGGCGCGCGCTATAGAAGAAGCTCGGCGAAGCTCAGATCAGAGAGAAGGGCGCGGCCGAGAGTCGACCCGACGTGGTTCCCCCTCCAAGCGGTCAGCGGGCGATCTTCGGGCGGTTCAAGCGAGACGGGGAAGGAAAAGGAGGAGGCGCAAAGCACGGAAGCCGCAGTCCATCGTGAAACCAAAGCGGGCTCGCTCACTGCCAAGCGCTGGCGAGGAGGCGAGGCCGACGATGGAGGCCCAGCGGATGGCGCGGGCCGCCACGCAAAGAGCTCATGTAGTGAGTGCGTTCTGCAATACCGGCGGCGACTCCAAGAAGCTCGTTCAGCTGGTTAGCTTCGCGTGGTGGGTGGGGCGACGACGGGCGCATCCTAAGTCGGTGTTGCGGGCTCGCGTGTGTGCCTAGCCTGGTGGTAAGGGCTCCGGGCTGTTGTCCTCGTAGAAAGAAAAAGGGAAGCAGAGGAGCGGAGCCAGACAGAGGTAGTAGAGGCAAGGACGAGATGACTTAGCCTGGCCTGGCGGAACGCTGAGGCAGACCACGCCGCTGCGGCAACGACAATAGCGCGACGAGACAACAGAGGCAGACCGCAGAGACAAGCAGAGACAGAAAAAGACAAGACCGAGGCAGCAGAAAAATAGAGGGAGGGGAGAAGCGCGAGGCTCGGCAGAGTCAGACAGAAACAAGCAAAGCAGGTAGAGACGATGCGACGAAGCGGGCAGACGGACGGTGGCGCTTAGCGGGGGCGTGGGCACAACAAAGTCACGTGCTCCCATTAAAATTCAGACAGGACGCTAGCGAAGGAGAGAGAGAGAATGGCGCAGGCAAACCGACGCGCCGGGGTGCAGAGCCACGACAAGAGACAAGACGGTGCATAATTGCAAAGCAAGGCGAGTACGTTGTACACCGCGCCAGTAAAAGTAAATGAAGCTACTGCGCTATCTCTCGTCGTGCTTTCACACCAATCACGTTAAATTTATGAGGCGGTCAGACGGGCAGCTGTCGCGGGTATGTTGCCAACTTATCATAGGGACTAAAACGAGTCTATACGTAAAAACATAAACACGAACTTTTTAACTAGGCGTGCTTATCAAAATATATATATATATATATATATATATATATATATATATATATATATTTCTATCGGTTTGCTAATTTAGACAATTAGCAACATCCGGCACGAGAAGATTCTTAACAAAGCTCGAATTTAAATTAGATTCAAAAGTTATATATATATCGTTCTATTTATTAATGGATTTTATTTTATTTATAAAAGTTACTTTTTCACGCTTAATCTAATAGAACAAACCGTTAGTTGATTATTAGATATAATTGTCATTCGACATTCCTGAATATCTTTACGCACTGAGTAATTTGATTTGGGCGTTTATTTGAGTCCACAAAACTAAGTCACACAGGATTCACTTATCACATCAAATATGTTTTAAATAAAAAATTCGAGAAACCCGTTTCAAAAAAAAAATTGTTAGACCTAAATCTCGATGGTAAACGAGTTCGTAACACGCTGCGGCGCAAAACCCCTGTCTCGCGCCGTAGCCAGCTGCGGCCGTGATTGAAATTGAAGGACGCGCAGGCGGGCCAGGCTTCCTGAGGCGGGCTTCCGTTAGCTGCATACACAACACATGGACCAGGCGGGACGATGATGTGCCCATCCGGTCCGTGGAAAATCCGCCCAGTCCTGACCCACAGAAAATTCAGGCCCGAGAGAAAAAAAAAGGACCAAATGGGCCAGAGCCAGATAAAGCGATTGCAGTCTGTGGCCTGTGCCCATGGTACGGTCATTCGGTGGTGGTGGCCAAGCCGACGACCTGCTCGTGGATCGGTGGTGCCGAGGTGGCCGGCATCAACTCCTATCCGCGACACGACGAGACCGACTGAGACGTGCACCATGGAACAAAGCTGGAGGAGCCGGCGGCGGTGGGCTGGGCACAAGACACTGAAAGACATGGCAAAGCTGGACTGTATCCATGGATGGCCGGATGTGTGATCTGCTACCGCAGGCAGCACGCGCGCATGTGGTTTCTTGCAGGACGGGACGGGCGGGCCGACGGCGACGGCGACACTCACTTGCTCTTGCCGTCGCGTCTCGGTTGATCTGGCCGGCCCCGGCCGCCAGCAGCGGCACGATAGATGCAGGAACGAGGGCCGGGCAGCAAACTGACCAAGATTCACGGTGAGAGAGACGGGTGTTTTTCGTCGCTATATTCGCGTTGGGGTTTTGATCTCGATCGGACAGACGGACGGGACGTCTGCGCCTGCTCATCTAGGATCATCGCAGTGGTTTAAACTTAGTACTAATCGTTTTTAGTCCCTCAACACTGTCGCTTACTTTCATTTCTAAACTCTCAAAGCCACCGTACGTTTTAGTTCTCAGAGTTTACTTTTACGCTCGATCGACTTCATGCCATCAAAAGTAATATCAAACTGATCATTTTAGTTCTCTTCTTCTTTCTTCTTCTCAATTTCATCTGTAAACTATCAAAGTATGTTTCAGTCCTCAAAATTTCATTTTCACCTTAACTTTGTTCCGAGTGCCACACCTTCGTGCCAAAATCAACTATAGCACCACCGGTGATCGGAGATAAAACATAATATTATGCTAAAAACATTATTGGTGAACCATCTAAAAAACTCTTTAGCGACCATTAATAATCCTAACGGAATATTTCAAATATTACCTTTTAATGGTACCGTCTTATATATATCCTCCTATATTGTTGTTTGGGAGTAATTACAGCTACTATGAATACTATTTAGTACGTTGAGAACACACTCATGATGTGGGACAGCAGTAGATCTACAAGTTTTTTTTAGCTATTTCTAATGGCGAGCTCAACTAATAACCGATAACAATTAAAAGTAATATGTTTTTGTCCACAAGGAATATTTAGTTATTGAAATAAAAAATACATTTAAAAAGTATGATATCAGATTCGAATTACCGGTGGTCCTAAAGGTGACTAGGTGTGGCATCACGGCGTTCCACATAGGACGAGGGATAAAGTTGAGCCTTGTTTGAGGGGAAAAATATACTTTGATAGTTCATAAATGAAATTAGACCTAAAATACAAAGATTGAGGATTAAAATGGCCACTTTGATGGTGATAGAATGAGACCGAGCCTAAAAGTTGAACTTTAAAGACTAAAACAGTCGTTTTGAAATCTAGGGCCACTAATTGTGGGACTAAAATGACTTATCCGCTTTACTTATTAAGAGGAAAACGGCTCGACCTCAGCCATCGGAAGAGCAAGCAATGCAACGTACGTCGTCGTCGAAACATTGTCTAGACAACTGAACCGTGCCATGCCTCGAGAATAAGAAACACACAAGGTGACAAGGAGACGATAGAACTGTCAACTGCATGCGTGAACGAAGCGCCATCTCTCTCTAGTTGACCGCCATTTTTCTATGGTTATTACAGGGGATCTCTCTCCACTCCAGCTCCAGTTGACTGGATCGATCTATCATCATCATCACATGATCGATTCCGAAGAAGATCCCCAGCCTGCGGATGGATCTAGCATTATTTTAGTCACTCAGTCACACACAGGACAGAGCATGCAACGCCGGCAACAGACAGCACACAGTAGCACACCACATGCCTCGCACATGACATGCATCCAACTATTACATACTACTACAACTCTTTTTTGTTCTTTTCCATGTCTGCCTTGCTAGCAGTTGCTAGCTGGCCCTGTTCTTGAAAATTTGACTTATGCTGATGCTTATGCTGATTTATTGTGAGAGAAAAATATTGTTCGTTCATTGAAAGGTACTGCTGAAGTAGTTCAAGTAAACTAAACTACTTCAGCCAACGCGCGGATTTTGCTCGCGGGCGCGGGCGTGTGAAGGCACTATCCGCGTGGATATTGCTCGTTGCCATCTTTAATGGTCACGGTGTTGCCTTCTATCTCAGGCCAGTCACTGTTCTTCTTTCTAAAATAACATATGAGCAAAAACTCGCAACCCCACTCCCTCGCCTCCCTCCCTCCCTCGATCGCCCCCGATGGCGTCCCCGCTACTGAGCTCGCCGCAGCCACCCCCGCCGCGCTAAACCGGCTTTGCTGATGCCGTCACCGCCGTGTGCCCAGCCCGTACCCCGCCCACCGCGGCGCGATAGGGTCTTGCTGGAGCTCTGCGAGACCCTACCGCCTAATGCGACCTCCTCCTTCCCCTCCCTCCTTCTGCCGCCACCATGTCCACGGCCACCCCGCCTGGAAACCCAACCACTGCCCTCCCGCCGTCCCCACCATGGCCACGGCCGCCCCCGCCTTCACTGGCCCAACTGCCATCTTCCTCCTCTCGCGGCCGATGGCACCCTGCCACCTCACTGATCTGGCCCCACGCCCGCCTCCTCCGCTTGGCCAGCCTGACAGCTTCTTCGCGGCTACGTGAGGAGAACGGCATCTTGATTTCAGACGCATGTAGAATAGGAGATGTGCAATTAAAATAGTGCAAACTATTGTCTAAAGTTTAGCTAATCTTATAAAAATGCTACTAGTTTATTACACCACACGAGTAAACTAAAGTGGTTTAAAGTTCGGCTCTTAACTTAGAACCGTCTATAGACTTTAGACGATAGATTCAAAATAGGAACGAAGTGCCGGGCAATATTAACCCACTTGTGTTAAATTTATTCCAGGCAAGGTACAACAATACTAGTACAGCACACGTAGTAACCTAGCACATGCATATAGGAGAGTATATATACGGTAATAAAAGGCAGAAGCAGAGAAAGCAGTAGCAGTCGGCCGTACGCGGTTATACTACTGCATACAATAGGGATTATAAGACAGCACGCACAATAGCTAAAAACCACGGCGACGAGAGGATAGAAAAGGAAACACGATGGGCAACGAGCCAACGACAGCGTGAGTGTGTGAGCAGACAGCACCAGCGGCCTTCTGTTGGATCGTCGAAGATCAGACGGCAGCGATGGAGCTGTCGAGCTTGACGACGACGAGCTCACCGGCGGCCTCCAGCCCCGCGGCCACCACGGCAGGGGCGGCGGCGTCGCTGCCGGTGGCGCGCGCGGCCAGGACGTGGTCACGCACGCGCGCCGCCATACCGTCGAGTCCGGCCTGCAGGCGCGCCACGAGCGCGTCCCTGGGCGTGCCGCGCACGGGCTCGCACTCGAACTCCCACCGCAGCTCGCACCCCGTGCCGCCGGGGGCGGCGCCCGGCGCGACGCGGAACGTGGCGAAGAAGAGGCCGAAGCCCATGTTGTTGTCGTTCATCTCGTACCGGAAGAACCGCCGCTCCGCGTCGTGCTCCAGGAGCGTCTCGTGCGCCCAGTCCGCGGGGTCTCTGGAGCCGGCGGTGGTGGTGCCCTCGCAGTACCGGACGCAGCCGGGCGCGCGCGGGGTGCCCGACGCCAGCCGGCACGCGGCCACGCGCGGGTGCCACCGGTGGAACGCCAGGAAGTCCGACAGCAGCGCCCATGCCTCGTCCGCCGTCGCCTCGGCCACGGCCGACGCCACCTTCCCTTCCCACTCCCACACCCTACTAGCGACCGGCGGTGCCGCTCCGCCGCCGACGGCCGCGGGCTCGGGTGCCGCCGTCATCATTGGGGGAACGGGGGCTGGGTGGGTGGTGAGCGGGGAGGCGTGCAAGTACGACGAGCCAGCACGGACGTGTCGGGCCGTGTGGGGGTGGGTGAGTAGTCCTGGAACCGGCGTTGGGGCTATACGCAATATATAGCCGACGGACGCGGGGGCCGTGGTTGGGTTCGTTAACGGGTTAGTTCGTTCTATGCTACCTAGCTACCTCATTGCATAAAGAATGTAAATTTAGATTTGGATTAAATCAAATCCCCTTATATTTAGTTAAGTTCATACAGTAGAAAATATTATAAGCATTTAGATTTTGATATGTGGCATACTACGATACATGGGCCCGATCCTCGAGTTTGTACGTGTGCGTCGTGACATTCGAATCTATGATGAATGATGATGTATACTGTGTTAGAACTGCAGGATCATAGATCTAGCCTCTGACTGTTCTATTCGGTATATAACATGTAAAACGGTAGATTCTAGGATATATAGAACGGTCTACAGAGAGACAGTGAGAGAAAGGGAAAGGTACCGAACCTGAGACCACAGGGGTGGAGGATCCAGTAGCCTCCATCAGGTTCGTCGATGTAGGCTGCGCACGGGCAGCGACGGTCGGTGAAGAGAGGCGACGCAGTGGAGACGGTGATGCAGTGCAGTGACAACGGGATGACGGTGATGACGATGGCGGCTCCCGTCGTTGGCTGCGCGCCCTCTTCGAGATCGGAATTAGGGTTTATCGGTGGGAGTATGGCTCACGGTGAACCTCGTACCTCGAGCCGCCGGCTCCACCTCTTTATATAGCGCAGTGCGACGGAGCCCACCAACCATGTAGGGTTGGGCGCCCCCGATCAGGGCGCGTGACCAAGGCCCAATAGGCCGTTGGGCTTATTGGTTGAGAGATCAATCTAACATTCTCCCCCTTTATCTCACTGTTACTTTTATCTTTAAACTTTAAACTTCAATCCTTTTATATTACTTTTATCTTTAAACTTTAAACTTCAATTCTTTTATCCTTACTCATTTCTTCACAAATGATGCATAGAGCATGTTTCATCGTCACGGTCAATCGCCGATAGATTTAACAGCTACAATGCACGTCTCTAATCTGAAATAGTTACTTTAACTTTTGGGCCCTTTATAATCCAAGAATCATAAGCTTTCCCTTAAACCCATGCCGGCTACATGTTCTCTGAACACGTTGGGTGGTAAGCCTTTTGTAAGCGGATCCGCGAGCATCTTTTCGGTACTTATATGCTCAAGACTTATCATTTGATCCCGGACTTTATCCTTCACAACATAATACTTTATGTCAATGTGTTTGGCAGCACCACTTGACCTATTGTTGTGAGCATACTGTACTGTTGGATTATTATCGCAGTATAACTTCAGTGGTCTATTGATGTCGTCAACCACCTTCAAACCGGGTATGAACTTCTTAAGCCAGTTCACCTGTCTCGTTGCCTCATAACACGCTACAAACTCGGCATACATTGTGGACGATGTAGTGACGGTTTGTTTTGAGCTTTTCCATGAAATAGCTCTCCCCGCGAGAGTGAACACATATCCAGACGTGGATTTTCTATTATCTCCCGCATAATCAGAATCTGAATATCCCACTATATGAAGTGAATCAGATCTTCTATACGTCATCATGAGGCCTTTCATTCCTTGCAAATAACGTAAAACTTTCTTTACCAATTTTCAGTGTTCTATTCCAGGATTGCTCTGGAATCTGCCAAGTAACCCGGTAACAAATGACAAGTCAGGGCGCGTACACACTTGAGCATATTGCAAGCTTCCGACAGTTGAAGCATATGGAACCACTTTCATTTGATCGATCTCATATTGGTTCCTGGGGCATTGAAAATCCCCATATCTGTCGCCCTTGACTATAGGAGCAGGTGAGGGACTACATTTGTGCATACTAAATTTCTTTAAGACTTTTTCTATGTATGCCTTTTGTGACAGTCCTAATACCCCTGTACTTCTATCTCGGTGAATCTCGATCCCTAGAATGAACGAAGCTTCATCAAGATCTTTCATATCAAATTTTGAGGACAAAAACTTCTTTGTTTCCAGTAGTAGACTGACATCACTACTAGCAAGTAAGATATCATCCACATACAGGACAAGGAAGATAAACTTTCCATTCTTAAACTTTGCATAGACACAATTGTCCTCAACATTATCTTTAAACCCAAAATTCTTTATTGTCTGATCAAACTTCAAGTACCACTATCTTGAAGCTTCTTTTAATCTATAAATGGATTTCTTTAGACGGCATCCCAAACGTTCTTTTTCTTTCATGACAAAACCTTTCGGTTGTGCCATGTAAACATTTTCTTCTAAGTCTCCGTTGAGAAATATCGTCTTTACATCCATCTGATGTAATTCTAAATCGTAATGTGCCACTAATGCCATTATGATTCTGAAGGAATCCTTACATGAGACTGGAGAAAAGGTCTCATTGTAATCAATTCCTTCTCTTTGTGTAAAGCCTTTTGCCATAAGTCGGGCTTTATATCTCTCTATATTCCCTTGAGAGTCAAGTTTTGTTTTGTAGACCCATTTACAGTCTACTGTTTTGGCTCCTTTAGGAATTATCTCCAAATCCCAAACTTTATTTGCATTCATTGATCTCATTTCATCTTCCATGGCCTCAAGCCACTTTGATGAATGATCACTTTTTATGGCTTCTTCAAATGAGGTGGGATCATCCTTCATTTGAAATTCTTCAGTGTTGTACACTTCATAATCAGCAGGAATAGCTGATTTTCTAACTCTTTGAGACTTTCTAGGGGCCTCCTCAGTCAGCACATTTTCTATTTGAGGCTGTTGTTGCTCCCCCTCATGTGTGGCAATAGTTTCTATAGGATCCTGAGGAGCAGGTTCCTCATCATCATTCATTGTTGCCACGGGTGGGATAACAACAGTCTTTGGCACCTGTTGTCTTGTATCTTTGTCGGTGCGAAGAATAATGCAGTAGTGAGAAAATGGCTCATGAATGATCGGAGTGGGTGCATACACCCGCTTCTCTTCAAGGTCAATTTCTCGAGCTACCATGCTCCCCTAATCATTTCATCCTCTAGGAAGACAATGTGTCTCGTTTCCACAAACTTTGTATGTCTGTTAGGACAAGAGAAATGAAAATCTTTTGACTTTTTCGGATAGCCAATGAAACGGCAACTCACCTGTTTTGGGATCTAGCTTCCCAATGTTTGGGTTAAAAACTTTAGCCTCGTGAGGCTCCCCACACACGCAAGTGGTTAAGTGAGGGTACTCTTCCCGTCCCACAACTCATACGGTGTTTTGGGTATCGACTTACTTGGTACTCTATTGAGAATATGAATGGCGGTTTTAACGCCTCCATCCTGAGACTCATCGGTAAAGTGGAGTAACTTATCATACTACGCACCATATCCATCGAGAGTGCAGTTACGCCTTTCACCTACTCCATTCTGCCGAGGTTCGCCGGTGTTGAATCTTTGGGCGACTATACCATTCTCTTGTAAGAACCTTGCAAAAGGTCCAGAACTTGTCCATATGGGGTATGCCGATCGTAGTACTCTCCCCACCGGACACGACTATCTTAATCTTTAAATCATGTTGATTTTCAACTTCGCTTTAAATATTTTGAATTTATCCAACGCTTCTGTTCTTTCTTTAATTGGATAAATATAGCCAAAGCGAGAGTAATCGTCTGTGAATGTTATGAATGAATCATAACCATCCACACTTTTCACAGGAAAAGGACCACATATGTCTGTGTGAATAATCTATAGAATTCCTGCGCTTCGTTTGGCATCTTTCTTAATTTTCTTTACATACTTTCCTTTTATGCAATCTCTACATTGTTCTAAATCTGAGAGCTCTAATGGAGGAAGAATATCATTCTTAACTAGTTTTTCTATTCTCCCCCTCGAAATATGGCCTAAACGACAGTGCCATAATTTCGACAACGCATCGTGAGCTCTCTTTCGTTTTCTGTTTGCATTGTTCGATGAGGATACGTTCTCATTCACATCACATACGGAATTCACATTTTCACAAAGTGATAACAAATAAAGCTCGTCTTGTCGGAAGGCAAGACCAATACATCTATTATTAAACAATATCTGACATTTGCTATTTCCAAAATGACAATCATAACCATCATGGTCCAACTTTGATACACTAATCAAGTTTCTTTGCAAAGAAGGTACATAAAGAACATCTCTCAGAATAAGTATGAAGCCATCAGCAAGCTCTAGCGGAAGATCACCAACGGCCTCAACATCTGCTTGTACTCCATTTGTGACTTTAATGAAACTTTCGCTTCTTTGCAAAGTTCTTATCGAACGGAATCCCTGTAATGAATTAGCAACATGAATAGTTGCACCTGAATCAATCCACCAAGTAGATTTTGAAAACTTTACATACAAGGATTCATTTACGAACGTAATAATGTTCTCACCTTTATTTTTCATAATCATCTTTAGGAAATCGGGACAATTCTTCTTATAATGTCCCGTCTTCTTACAGTAGAGACACTGGTTTTATCCACTGGGAACTGCTTGTTCTGAGACTGTTGCATGGGACCCTTTCCAGATGACTTGGAGGAAGAGCTGTTGTTATAGTTCTTTTTCTTATCTTTTAGGTAGTTAACAGTACCACCCTGTGAAACTTTTATTCTTTCCTCCTCCTGCACACACATGGCTATGAGCTTTTCTAAATCCCATTTTTCAGGTTGTATGTTGTAATTAACAACAAAGGTGTCAAATTCTTTGGGGAAAGAAGCAAAAATCAAATGAATAAGAAATTCATCCTTGAGTGCCAAATCCATTGATTTGAGCTTAGATGCCAGATTGCTCATTCTCAGTATGTGCTCTCTAATGCCACTGCCGCCACTAGAGTACCTTTCTGTTATCAGCTGCTTGATCAGCTGGGTTGCATATATCTTTGAAGAGCCAGTAAACTGTCTTTTTATTCTTTCTAGGTACTATGTGACCGTGTCACAGTCTGGAATTGAG